AAACTGGGCAAGGCCATCCCTAACTTATAATCACCCCAACTCCCACAAGCCCCGAACCCTAATTATGATCCTACATGAAAACCGAAGCCTTATCATCGCCCCACTGTTGTCCTGAATCCCTTGAAGCAACGGAAGAATAGGGTCAGGGCCTGGTTCTCGAGCCGCCGCTGCGCTTCGGCGCGATGTCGGGAGCCTTAAGTCTCTTGGCACTTCTTAAAAGGGCTTCGAAGTCGAGGTGTAGTGTAGTGCATCGAAATGCGGAATCTGCTGGGCTTTCCGCCGTGAGCTGGTGATGCGAGAAACGAAAGGACGTTCTGCCATCGTGCCCAGAGCATGACTTAGCACGTGGGCCGTCACAAAAGCACCAAAGCTCGATGCTGTCGCAACGATGCCGCGACTCTTTCGCCCCACTCCCGCCCCCACTCCGCCTTGAAATTCCACAGCCTCACGTAGCCACGTAATCTCCACCTTCCGAAACACGGCAAGTACGGAATGCGTCGCATCTATGGGTGGGGATGTAGTAGGGAAATAAGCATGGCGCATCATTCTTTAGGCGCTTGGCCTGCTGCAACCTGACACGGGTTGGCAGCAAAGGGGAAGAGGACCTAAACCCTAAAGGACTAAGGAACCCCGTGGGCAGCGGGCGCCCTGCGCCAGCCGTCCCCCCTCCCCATGGCGCATCATTCAGCATAGTATTCAGAGAAAAGCCCGATGACGTCAACAGAGGTGCTTCTGGAGTGTTTGTCATCGCTTTGCCGCAGCTGCTTGTCTACGTGGCCAAGCTAGCGGCTGGCTCGCAAAGCGATGTCCCAAACCCAAACCCGAATATTCCGGTGGAGCTCGACCATACACGCAAGCTGCGGATCGCATCCCCTGGGTGACATGTGATCTTCTATCCTGTCTTTTCCACAGAATAGTCTCAAGGTTGAGCATGGTGGAGCGAAACTGACAAGGAGTTTTGGTTGAAGCACAAAGGTGCTCAAGTTGACAAGGCTGACATTTTCTGCTTTTTAGGACGGTGTGAAGTGCTCCAAAAACAGCGCTTTCCCTGGCTCGTAGAGTCGACTTCTGCAGGGAATCTAAGAATCTAAGCCCTTAGTCTGACCTTGTTTTGCTGGATGAAGTCTACGGCCGAGCGCTGCTTCACCACCAGCTTGTCCAGCTCATCCTGAGTTTGCGGCTCGAGGAGAGGATAGCAAACAAGCGCAGACGGCCCTGCGACTACCACGTTCAATGGCAATGCGGTCGGCAGAATCATGAATCTGTTGCTCTGGAGGTCTGTTCGAGTCTGGGCTTCTCCATGTGACCTTCGAGCACCGCTCGGACCTCACTAATGAAAGCCATCCTCGCTATATGCCACTGTCTGCTTCGACAGTTCTAACCCCAAACCGCTTTAGACTCTTTAGACTCTGAGCCGAGAGCATTCTGCTGCTACTTTGGTATGTTAATGCAACTGACCAAAAAAGTATGAGCACCATGTACAGCGGGCTCCTGGATCTTCGCTGCCTCGCTAGCCACGTAGGCGAGCTGGTCTGGGCCTCTGGCAATATAATATCATTTTTGTTTGTGCTAATATTGTAAAATGTCCAACAGCCAGGATCTCTAAGGCCCTTACTCTGCAAGAGCTCCGCAAGCCAGGAAAAAGCCGGGCTAAATAAACACAACGAACCCGCTTGCATAAGACACAAACCCTTCTGTTCCATACAGAGGAATAACGATCACGAAACTTGAGCTCCCTTCATGCTTTGGTTTACGGGTGGGAGCCGAAGCTGATGAAAGAATCCCCTACACAAAGGGCCTTCCTGGATTCGCTATTTACTTTTTCTGGGTATTTCGGGTTTATGACCTCTTCATGACGTCAAAGTCGGGTTCCGATTTAGTTGCAAGGCTTTCGTTTGCGCCATGCGGGAGTCCGGAAATCCGAAAGATAGTCACAGCATCACAAGCGAAAGAGTGTTCGACCAAACCAAGCTATGGAAGGACATGGAGCCCAAAAGGTTCGCAGGCCCCGAAGCAGCAGGCTGAAGCCGTAAACCCCCAAAGAAGCTTCATGATTGATTGAGTTGTCCCTCTACCAGATGCTGAACGTCGGAGGCTGAAAAGGGGGAAAGGGAAAGAAGCCCGGTTTTCTTCAGTCAGATGGCCCTGAGCCAGGCAGTCGAAGCGATTCGTTGCGATGGCTTCCTTGGGCAGAGGACTGCTGAAATTACTCCGATTACTGCTAAGTTGCGATTGCTTGAATAGTTCTTACTCTGGTACCTGTTGTTCTGAGTCGCAAAATCTCTATTCCTATGTGACAAAACTCTGGGAAGACGCTTGCAGTGTCTGTGGATGCAGTCGGCCTCGTGGGGACGCAAAGGCCCCCTACATATGACATTTACAGACTCGCCGCGCGAACATGTGGGCCATGGCTCCTTCAGCGTCGCCGCACGGCTTCGAAGTCTCCTTGGAATGTCTTCGCATACAGCGATACATTGGTTTCGGGGCTTTCACTGATTTTCCTTCCTTGCATACCAGTATATGCCGATCGGCGTGGGAATCTGGGATCCTGCTTTCAAAGCCCTTGCCTCGTCTTGAGCTTTGACCATGCACATATGAGCGTCCTCACGAACTCACCTCACAAGGAAACAGCCCAACTAGTCCCAAAGGCCTCTGAAAATTACTCCGTCGTACTCCGTCCCAGCCCTACAAATCTTCGACCCTGGGGTCTGCCAGGGCTCTCGTGTGCAGACTGCCAGCCAAGCAGAGATGCTCTAAGAGCCGCCAGGGTGGACTCCTTTCGGCGAAGCAAGACTAAGACCCCTTCCCCAAACCTAAACTCAGTTTTCAGATCCTTCTCGGATGATCGGGAGACCTTGAGTCGATAGGTCCTGGCGGAAGAAGTAACTAAGGGTCTTAGTAGAAGACGAAGCCCTGCCGAAAGCCTCAAGGATGAGCGATCTGAGTTGAATCGTCAAGACCATCCACTCACAGATGCAAAACACTTGTGTCTGTCTCGTACCAACCTAAACCCTGAATCCAAAATCCTAAAACCCTATAAACCCTACTACAACAACACCGTGAACTGCGCTGCCTGAGCCGCGCGTGTGGATTGCATGGGCGCGAAGAGCTCCGATGGATGCCGGGGCCCCAGAGTCTGGGCCTGTTGTTGCGGCTGAGGGCTACGGAATGGGGCGATTATAGGGTTTTTCTGAGGATTTATCTGTGCCAACACTGCCAAACAGTACTATAAGTAGTATTGTTCTCATCAGCAGTCTGACTACGACTGCATTATTCTGATTCCGTTTCGGTAGTGCCCTATCCTATTGTCAAAGCTTGCTTGGGAAGCTCTAGACAGATTGTGATCTCGGACTTTGAAAGGTTCGTTCCCACCCTTATGAAAGCTTGTCTTCTTTCTTGCTCTATGCAAAGCCCTCCGACAGCTGGGAAAGAATGGCAGCTGACCGGTGACATGACTGTCCAAGGGATGAGAGCGCAGCAGAAACATATCGTCCAAGAAATGCCAAACACAGGGCCTGCATCCTCTGCAGATGAGAATTGTCCAAAAGTGATGCCAACAAATGGCAGCTGCTTCCGTGCAGCACTCCACATGCACGTGGTTGGGATAGAGATGTCATGCAATTGCAGTAGCCTAGCAGAGGCACCGGCCACACTTGGAGGTTCAAGAGACAAAGCACGCGGGTTGCAAAGCTGTTGATCATCAGAACTATCAGCATACAAGTATAAGCCGAACTCGGATACTTCTTCACCCAAATCCTGAAGGACCTGCAAAGTCGTGCGATCCTTCTCAAGCAAGGCCTTGCTAGCTCCCAAGGTCCAAAGGTCTACACACCAAGACCCCACGAGGGCCCTAGGGGCCTGCGGTCCACTCGGACGTCCAGTGGGT